TTTGCAAACGTTTGTAGAAGTAGGCTGTATCCCATTTCAGGGTCTGCAGCCTTAAAGTACGCAGCCTTAACGGTCCACACGGGCCGCATACTCAAAGACCACTAAGGCCGGAAGTGCGAGGCTTGTGAAATGGGACGGTCTAGCCTCCGTCGTGCTGCCCAGGTTGCCTAGCAACCATGACACTAACAGCTGGAAACGTTTCATACAGCTTTGTTTGACAGGAATGAAGGAGAAAATCTTTTGTTCATTTGTTTGTTTGTTTCTGCATTAGCTTTGATTTGACAAGTATCTGAGGCTGAGACCACAGGACTGTGAAATCATGATTATTGGGCTTCATTTCTGTACTGAACAGTCATTTAAGATTAGCTAGTAAATAACAATTAGCTAATGTTGTTCATGAGACTAAGGTCATCTCACTTTGGTAATGTAAATATAATATGGCCAATATTAAAGTTATAATTTCAATCATTATTAGTTATTACAGCAGTGAATGAACTCTGTTTCAAATACTGAGCTTCAGTAAAGATTCAAGCTGCATTTATTTATATTATTTACATTTCCTGTCACCTTAAATCTTCACTCAAAGACAGTGTTATGGATAGGCGTAGCTTTGGGTCACGTGGTGTCTGTAATAGTGATTGCTATATCACCTGTTCACGGCCCGAGGGAAATTTTGTGAATGAGTGGGTGATGGGGGAAGTCGACTTTTGCTGACCGCTCAAGCTTGGAATGTTTTTGATCACTGTTTTTCTACGGATTTTAAGGATTTGATAACAAATAAAGGAGTTTTAACTTGGAACTTTGACGTTTTAAACAGCGGGCGCGTCAACATTATTCCCCTATTCAGCTGCTCGGCGACTCAAAGGCTTGATAGTCGCCAATATTTGTCAGCAAAAAGTGCGACGGCAATGGACCGTCCCGCAATCAGCGCTGAATAAACGCCGATGCGAGCCCACACACCGCCGCCACTACACCCGTAAAAGCGGCTAGACCGACAGATAAGGAGAAGACGACGGTGGTATGTAAACTGTGTTTTTGTGCTGCGTATTGTTTGTTTGAACGCAGTTTGGATTCTGACCATACGAAGATGTTTTTGTGACACGCCCACCGCTACGTTTGCTGTTGGATTTGGTGTGTGTGAGTTGTGGCTCTGCAGGCGTTCAACTGAGTTTGAAGGAATTGCTGTTGCCTTTGTTTTGGATTTTGGCATGCTGCTTATGTTGAATGCTTAAAATGAGTGGATCACAGGCTGCATCTGTTGTTGGAAAAACTGAAAAGGATAAAAGAATAACTTCCCTCACTGAGAAAGCTCTTGCAAACAAAATTGAAACCATCCAAACAGATCGGAAAAGGCATGTAAACAAAATGAAAAGTGTTATGTCTCTTAAAGAGCTAATGAAAGATGATAAAAATCATTCACAAGTCAAAAAACAGTTTGAGTTAACACACCTGTTTAAGGATGCCAGTGCATTGCATGAATCTTTACTTTCTCTAATCTCATTTGATGAGAAAAATAAACAAAATACATGGTTCTCAAGCATCTCTAAATACAATAAAGGGTTTATGGAGGATGTTAACATATGGCTTTCTGAAACTGATAAACATTCAGGGAGGCCATCATCTGACAAGTCACAGGAAACTTCCCTGGGAGGAGAAGTGGAGGTTCGAGAGCACACTGGAAAAGAACCACAATTATCTCTTAATCCTCAGAATGATGTTAATGATGACGTGTTGCCATCCGACAGTGTGTCAAATCAAGGCAGTAGGTCAAGCTCAAGAGTATCATCTACTTCATCTGCATGTCTCAGGGCAGAAGCTGAAATGGCCGCCTTGCTCGCACGTCAACATATGCTGAAAGAAAAACACTCTCTTGAAGAACAAGAGGAACAATGGACTACTTGCACTAACACTTCCGCGTTCTATGTAGTCCTGCTCCAGTGCTTCCGGTGCGGTTAAACCATGGCGACGTTCTACACTCGATGCCTACAAGAGCTCCCAAAATTGAACATCACCGATGTTCATCGGATTTGCAGAGTGACGACTACCCCCGCCAGCAAATTAGATAAAGGATTTAAGTTATATGCTGCATCACATATACACAACTACGAAGGTAAGAAAACGTAAATTAACCGACAAAGAAACGCTAGCTAACGTCAAATGCAAACACTACGTTACTCCGCTATGTCCTTCATTTAATGTCAGTTCTCTACATTACATGTTTTCTTAAACGGTGTTTTATGTCGTCCTAAACTATAGTTGAGGTTTTCTTAACTAATGTCACTTTTGTTGTTAGACATTGTTATATTAGCGTTAGGTAGTTGGCTAACTATGGAGGTAGTTAACTACCTAATGCTACTCTTGCTAAGTGTAAAATATATATGTTTAAGACATGCTGAAATGAGTAATACAGAAATAATGCTAATGGTACTTGTATCTTTATTCAGTGTCCAATAAAGACAGGTTGTCAGGGGAGGTCGGTGTGAGAGCCCTGTGCTACAGGTCGATGAGGAAGAGTGAGGCACCACACAGACTAAGTGTAGGCAGGAAGCTGTGTAAAGTTGTTAATCCCCGTTCTGTGGGGTTCAGTTCATTTAAGCATTAGTTAAGTTCATTCCTAAAGGCCCATCAACTTGAATGTTTTCCTTGTCTCCCTGCTTTATCACTCCTAATTTGACTAGTCAGATAGTTAAATCGACGTGTGTTTGGGTGATCAGAAACATTTGACAACAAGTTAATACTGCAAATATACACAATCTAAGTTATTACAGTTATCAAGCATGGTTAAGTTGTTTTAATAGGGAGAGAAGGAAACACTAAGCATTCAGGAGGGTACGTAACCATAACACTGAACTATGTTCCTGTTCGGCTCTTCCATGAAGATGTTACATTTTTAATTTTCGTTCTTTCTTCTTAGATTAAGCTTCTGGATTCATCGCCGGTGATACTGACACATAGCCAGTGCTCCTGTGTGGCAGGCGCTGTTATGTGCAATCACACAGTGGCATTGCTCTTCCAAACAGCACACTACTCACAACTCAGAGTGCCGGTTGTCCCCCCCTGTGCATAGCTGCACGGAATCTGAACAGCAATGGCACAAGCCACGGACAGTGGTAATTTAAATGAGGTTAAAGTTTGTGAATTAGTCCATGTTTACATATGAACAGCAACACCATCCATAGTAAATGTATCTTCTGTTAGGGTGTGAAGCCAGGACCCATCAACTCCATGATCTTCACTAAGCCAGTACCAAATAGGATGGCCCAGACTGGAGTACGGTAATTACATTTGTAAAATTTGGTTTCATGTGTTACAAATGTATGTTGCTATTTTTTTCATACATACATGTGTCAGAATAGGTATTAATTTACATACAACATTACACTTTCTGAAGACGGCTAACTCAGTCATGTACATATACATCCCAGTCTCTAACTTATGCACCACTGTTTTACACCTTTTAGTTTTTAGTTTAGTTGTTGTTCAGTATAACAACCTTCTTCCTTACATTATTGTCATTGATGTTTTCTTTAGGAGTGGCTTCTACAGAGGCATGGTGGGTCCGTTACCAGATCCCTGCTTGTTCAGAATAACGGAGGCATATGCAAAATTTAATATTGAGGACAGGCCACTTGTGACCACAATGAACATGAGACCTGACAAGCCCCTTGTGGAAAGTGCCTTTGGGCTGGTGCAGGAGGGCAGTGTTCTGTCATATCAGCAGCCGGTTTTGACAACCCGGTACATCACACTACACCGCGATGCACCACCAACACCGCACTTGCCTCTGGAGGGGTATGACATCTTGCCATCAGATTGTGTGTTTGTGTGCTCAGAAGAAGAGCTTCTGCATCTGAAAAGCTTGTCTGTAACTCTGGAAATGGCTCACAAAATAGAGGAAGCTACACGTGAGCAAAGCTCTTCGTCTGAGTGGCATCAGCTCCGCAGGCCCAGAGTGACTGCCTCTAGGTTTCGGGAGGTGTGTCACGTCAGAGGCCAGAGCTCGGCCGAGTCACTAGCAGAGCGTATATTGAAGGGAACAAGGCAGACAGCAGACATGAGGAGAGGAACTGAGATGGAGCCTGCAATAGCAGCAGAGTATAGTAGGCTAATGAATGTTAACTACTCACCCTGTGGTCTGGTCATTCACCCCATTGCCCCCTGGCTTGCTGCATCTCCTGATGGTGTTGTTTTTGACCCCAATGAATACCCCCAGTTTGGCTTCGCCGAATTCAAATGTCCCAATGTACAAAACTTTATTGACTGCAAATATGTGCAGATGGAATGTGGTACCCCTAAACTAAAAAAGAGCCACGCATATTACTGGCAAGTGCAAGGACAACTGCTCATCAGTGGGATGCAGTGGTGTGACTTTGTTGTGTGGGCACAAGAGGACTATCTAGTAAAAAGAATATACATGGATACAGATGTGCACAATGCAATCAGAGAAAAGGCAGACTATTTCTTTTTTTACATATATATGCCAAGATACCTGTGTTTGAAAAAATGAACAGTGAAAACGGCAAAAAGAAAAACGGATCCTTCAGGCTGGCTGGAACAAAATAACTGATGTTTTATTTTCAATATAGTTCATGAATTCTTTTGTTGTTACATGTTACTTTTATGGGACATCAATAAACTGTTATTTAAGCAATGGCATCAATTTAATTTTTAAAAACACACATTAAAACATTGAATTTGTGCAGAACTTATTTACATGGTAAGTATTTAAAACTCCATGCCTAGCATACTGATATACATTTAGACAATAACACAACTGAACTGTAGAAAATGACAAATGGTATTTTTGATGTTACAAAAGTTCAATGTCACTTATGGTTTTAAAACGATTTAGTGATTTACTTTATAATTTTGATAAATAGTTTTGTTGAATCTGAATAGTAATAATAGTAGTATAATTAAACAGTATTATTAACATTAAACATTTGCAATGAATTTGAATTGTCAATAACTGAAACTCAACTATCGGCACTCAAGTACCAGTTCTGTAATCAAGTATTGTCAGCTGAGAAGGAAGAAATTCAACTGTAGTGGCCTCAGCTGCAGGTCATTTTCCATAAGTTACTTGTACTGGCACTGGTGTCTTGGGAAAAATCCATCTTGTCTCACTTAACCCATTTTTTAACTAATGCTGTGTTCTGGTAATTTGACAGCATACATGCCACTGCAAACAGTTGGTTGATATTATAAACATGTGACATGGTAATGATGCTATCAAAAAGTTTGTTCTGTTTGATCCTCCTAATGACTCGCTCCACATGTACCCTGAGTCTGGCTATGGCCTGCGTCTCCTTAACCTGGTATGCTGGCATCTGCTTCTGCTTAGATAGAAAAGGTGGGCAGTACACTTTGCATTTACAACAATCAGTGATTAGGAAGCCCTTATCTACCATCACTGCCATGTCTTCAGTCAACTTCTCAGCAATGCCTGATTGTTTGAATAGTTCCTTGTCACTAACCGAACCAGCATACAGATTAGAGATGAATGTCACTGGACCATGTGGAGCTATGCCAACCAGGGCTTTCATCGTACAGTGGGATTTGTACGAAGAGTACATTTCACTTTGGAGAAGTGGTGAGGATGGTGTCTGACACCTCAGCTCTGTACAGTCAAGGATCATCTGGGTGTCTGAGAAATCTTTGAATTCCTCAGGGAGGTAAGCTTGCACTTCTTCACGTGTAAGCCAGATGCACTGAGACCCCAGTGCAGTGGCAAGAAAATTTGTCCATGTTGCAATAATGCGGCTCACTGTGGACTGGTGTATGTTAAATCGGTGTGCCAGGTCCCTCTCCTTCAAACCAACTGACAGGAAAACCAGGAAAAGAAAAAACTCGTCAATTGGCTGTAGCAGCTGCCTCTGGAAGGTGAAAACAAAAGGGAAAATGTTACTCCTTAAGCTATGAACTAGTAAAATTATTCTTTTCTTGGCTAAATGTTTTGTAATGGTTAGGCATACCATACTGTACCATGGGGTAAACAATGAGGTGCTGTAGTGCACAGGTGTATGTATGTAAAGGATACTGAGTCTAGCATACATACACCTGTGTATGTATGCTACTGTACATAATGTAATGTTATTGTACATAAATACAATAACATTACACCTCTAGTTCTAACTACCAACAAACCCATAACCTACTGTTGATGTGCGTGCAGGTGTCAACACTTCTTCGTTCCGATTGGCAGCTGACTTGGCTCTTGAAACCCGGATCATTTTATAGATGCAAGGCTCAATCAAAACCCAGAATGCCATCAAATGATCATAGCTTGGAAATCTATTCACGAGAGAGACATGCATCATGTCAATCATTAATTAACATTACACACTGACATAAAAATAATGTGAACTGTGACAAATATGCTAATGGAATGCTGTATAAAATAGTCTGATTAAGAGTATTTGGTGTTGTATTTTATCTGTAGCATTAGGATATCGTTTAAATACTAAAGCATCTACATAAAACATACAATCAGCAGAGAAAAAGTAAATATCTATTTTGTTTTCATTAAGACTGGAAAAACTTTCGAAATTTAACTGATGGTGACCTTGGTATATTTTAAACAGTTAGCTTGAATAGAACTTAGGTGTACCTGGTATAGAATCGGATGTCAGTGTCGGAGCCAGCAAAACGCTGTAACCCAAATTCTCGCTGGACACGTAACTCCTGTATTTCCTTCCTCAGAGTCTCCACGTCTTCGGACAGGTCTTCTGCAGCTGATGCAGATATGTCCAATGCAGATGGCTCAGGGACCGAGCAGTAGTCATGATCTCTTGTAAGACTGTGCTCTTCTTGATCGTCAGGAGGAACTAGTTCAGGGCGTCGCTCTGTTCTCTCCCAAACACTACGCCGCGGTGGTTCAACTTTATAGCCATTCCACTCAAAAAGTGTTGGTACAGCACCTTTAATAAGCCACCTTCGACCATCGAGGGTTGTTGGCTCTATGAGTTGATCACTGGCAAAGTGTCTGCAGCAGACCCTGGTGTGAGAGGTAATCGTGAAATGATCCCGGCATATATTTACCAGCCATTGTCTTCTCAAGTCGGAATAGGTCGGAAAGGCATGAAAACTTAGTATGCCGTTAAATTTGGCTGAAGCTGAACAAAGTGGGACACAGCAATGCTCGGAGTATTTCTTCTCCTGTTTTTGAAAATGTTCTGTTTTAAATACTTTCCTTTTTATACTCATTCTGAAGCGACATTAGCATAGCTACCGATAGATAAGCAAACGTACCGGAAACGCACAAGCGGTACTATTTGGAAACGGAAATACGTCACATGCCCTAGTGCAAGTAGTCTATTGAGGAGAAAGAAAGAACAACTTCAGCTTGAAGCAGATATAGCTGCAACTGTTGCAAAGGTGAACGTGCTGAGAACTGGATCCGCTATGCGGAGCGTCGCTTCACGGAAATCTAATGGAATGGAATCATATTTTAAAACAAAGGGAAACAGCCTTGAAATTCTTAATGCGGATGCAGAGACTTTTGTTCCTCAGACGCTTACAAAAGGAAATGCAATCACTGGGAATGCAGAGCTTCAAGTAAAAACAGTGCAACAGAATATCAAAAGGGAAAGGCCTGCACCAGCTTTTATGGGGCCTTCTGATGCTTTTGGATCAATTCCACCTTTGCCTAAGCTACAAGCTGCTCTTCCAGTAGCCAATGAAAATCTGTTGTCCATTATGGAAGAACAAAATGAATTAACTTGTATGTTGGTCCATCAGCAAAGTCTTTCTTCACTGCCCAAAAGGGAGATTCAAACCTTTGATGGTGACCCTTTACATTTTCAGGCCTTTATGCGCTCGTTTGAACAGGTCATAGAAGCAAAGACTGGCGATGCTGGTGACTGCCTGCATTATCTTGCACAGTACACCAAGGGGCAGCCCAATGAACTTGTTAAAAGCTGCCAACATATGTCTGGAAGTGCTGGATATGTAAAGGCAAAGACTCTGCTGTATGAGCACTTTGGGAATGGACATGTGATTGCATCTGCCTATTTGAACAAAGTTCACTCATGGCCACTGATTAGATCGAAAGATGGAAAAGCTCTTCAGGCATATTGTTTGTTCTTACGTGGATGCTGCAATGCAATGGAAGAGATTAATGATCTCTCTGAATTAAATACACCTGCCAATATGCTTGCTGTGATTAGAAGACTGCCATATAAGTTAAAAGACAAATGGCGAACAGTAGCATATGACATTCAGGAGAGGCAACATCGCAGAGCCGCATTCATTGACATTGTTTCCTTCCTTGAGCGTCAAGTTAAAATTGTAACAGATCCCATCTTTGGAAATCTATGTGACGTTCCAGCAACACATCTAGCAGCCAAGGGCAGCAATGGAGGGAAATGTTCTCCACATCTAAAAGCTAAAGGAAGTAGCTTCGCCACAACAGTCTCTGACGTCGAGAGACAGAATCAGATAGAGGCTCAAGATCGTCACAGCACTGTGAAGGCTTGTTTTTTCTGCAAAGGCGGACACACACTGGAGTCATGTGCTCTGCTTGATAAGAAACCTCATGATGAGAAGGTTTCTTTTCTTAAAAAGAACCGCATTTGTTTTGGCTGTTTGTGTACTGGGCACATAAGCAAAGAATGCAGAAAACGCCTTTCATGTAAAATCTGTGGCCTCCGACATGCAAGTATACTCCATATCCACGACAAAGAGAAGAATGAAGTCAAACCTAATAATGAGGCAGATAACATTCCTGTTACGATCCAGACTAGTGGTCTTACTGGGGCCGGTGAACAGGACTGTAAGCTTGCCATTGTGCCAGTTAAAGTAAAATCAAAGAGAGGTCAAAGAATAGTGGAAACGTATGCCTTTCTGGACCATGGGAGTTCAGCATCCTTTTGTACAGTGGGTCTTATGGACAAGCTGAATATTGCTGGGAGGAAGACAAAGATTCTCCTGCACACCATGGAGAAAGTGGTGGACAGTTTCATTGTACCTGAACTTGAAGTTGCTGGATTGGACAGTGACATGTACTGTGATATGCCTAACCTCTTCACTCAGCATAAAATGCCTGTAGATACTGGTAACATCCCAAATCAACAGGACCTGGATGACTGGCCACATTTGAAGCACGTTCATTTGCCAGAAATTAAGGCCAATGTTGAGCTTTTGATTGGCATGAATATGCCCAGAGCTCTAGAACCTTTGGAGGTCATCCGGAGTGTAGGTGATGGACCCTTTGCCATTAGGACTGTGAATGGGCCACTTAATCGAGAATGCTGTGGAAGGCCAGGATTTTTGGCAACAGTTACCGCCAACAGAGTTTCTGCTGTCATACTGGACAAGCTATGGAAACAGCAGTTCAAGATGGATTTTCCTGAGAGCAGCAATGATGAACAGATGGGGCTGTCAAAGGAAGACTTGAAGTTCCTGGAATTGCCCAGCAAGACGGTGACTTTGGGGGATTGGCACTACAGCATTGCCCTGCCACTAAAAGACCGAGACATAAGAATGCCTGACAACCGTGCAATTGAGCAACGAGCCTTAGGTTTGAAGAAAAGGTTCATCAGAGATAAAGACTTTCACAAAGACTACACTGCCTTCATGACAGATCTTATATCTAGAGGATATGCAAAGAGAGTCCCAGTCACAGAATTAGAGCGCCAGAAATGGGGAAGGATTAAACGCAACTTCGTTCCCGGAGATGTGGTCCTTATAGTGGATTATTCTGCACCTCGTGGTTCCTGGATCATTGGGAGAGTCACCGGAGCTGCACCAGATGAAAAGGGGCTTGTGCGTCAGGTCTGGATTAAGACCCCAACCAGCCATGTGTGCAGACCCATCACAAAGATATGCCTTCTTCAGGAGACTTCTGACCCATGATTATGACATTTTGACACAGTGTGACATAACTAACTTTGAATTGACTTTAATGTTATGAGATGTACATTACAGACTGACTATATTTAGGCTAAGTGCTGGTAACCTCTGGCCTATGACTGACTGACCATGTGCAGACAGAAGAGAAGACATGAGAAAATAACTTTGGTGGACTTTTTGAGTATGTTATGTTGTCTCACTGGGTGTCTGTGATATGATGAAGTGTGTGTTGTGAGTTGTGGTGTTGGATGTGTAATTATTACTGTAAAAATGTAATAATTAGGGGCCGGAATGTTATGGATAGGCGTAGCTTTGGGTCACGTGGTGTCTGTAATAGTGATTGCTATATCACCTGTTCACGGCCCGAGGGAAATTTTGTGAATGAGTGGGTGATGGGGGAAGTCGACTTTTGCTGACCGCTCAAGCTTGGAATGTTTTTGATCACTGTTTTTCTACGGATTTTAAGGCTTTGATAACAAATAAAGGAGTTTTAACTTGGAACTTTGACTAACGTTTTAAACAGCGGGCGCGTCAACATTATTCCCCTATTCAGCTGCTCGGCGACTCAAAGGCTTGAAAGTCGCCAATAGACAGGTTTCTTTGACACTGTATATATAACTGTGTTATATAGATGAGAGACAAATATTGTTCTTTTAATATGTTGGCATTACTAAATTTGTCTCAGTGCTTACTTTAAATATCCATAAAATCATCACATTCTCTGTAAGATTAACGTCAACTATTGAACGGCGTATATTTTAAAGTAAAGGCTTTAAAACCAAGTTAGTACTAACATCGCTAATGTCACATAACTTTGCCGACATGTGGCCAACAGTAATGTTTTAATGTTCTTTGTTATTAAACACTCGCACATAAATAAGTGACATAATATTCAGTACTTACTTTTAAAGGTTTACTCTTCGGGCGCCCCTCTTCCAAAATTATCCACACCCACCGCTGCGCTATGCATTCTGGGATATGTTGGGCCATGAAGTCTACACTGCCACACCCTTAAAATTCAGTGAAATAAAGGACGCATTTGAGGGCCGCATTTCGAGCAGCCTTTGAATTGGGACAGCCTTCGTCGTGTCGCTGTGACATAATTGGCCTTAAAATGCGGCCTTTAAGGCTGCAGACCCTGAATTGGGATACAGCCGTAGTCTGCATGCCTAGGTGCTTGATTTTATACACCTTTGGCAATGGAAGTGATTGGAACACCTGAATTCAATGATCTGAATGTGTGAGTGAATACTTTTGGCAATATAGTCTATGTTCTGCAACCATTTGGGGGATGAGGGTAAAAAGAATATAGAAAAGCAGTGCATAGAGGCAAGGACAAAAGTATTAAACTATGGGAGAGAGTAGGAAAAAGGTAATGACAGCAGAAGTGTTCAGTTAAATTCAAAATTGGATATCACAGGGTGCCAATGAATAGAAGCCAGTATGGGAAAAATGTGATCTCTCTTTCTAGTCCTTTTCTCACTGTAACATTTTGGATCAACTGAAGGCTTTTTAGGGATTTTCACCAACACAGCAACAGTAAAAGCACTCCACTCAAGGCTTCATAATGGGAATTCAAAAACCAGTGTGCTACAGCCATATTTTATAATGTCGTGTGCATGTGTGGGTTGCAAGACGGCCTCCCGGTCTCCATTCTCACTTCATTACTACATTTAAAGAAAGTAATATTCTCCTCCCCTTCCAAGAGCCGCTTGTTTTCCTGGAGGGGAGCTTGATCACAATAAGACAGGCCAGGGGCAAGCAATCTGAAGAGATCAGACGCAAACATGCACACACTTTGACTCAAACACACACTGAGGATTGGCGAGGAGCAAAGCAGTCACTGGAGAGCAGAGAAGAAGACAGGCAGGCAGGCTGAAGTGAGATGGATGTTGGCTCTTGGAGGAACCTCACAGCACACTGCTGCTGGGACTTAGAGATAATTTGCTGCTTGTCTGTGAAAACAAGATGTAAAGCCACAATTTATTGTTGTCCTTGCTATCCCATCTGCCGTGGGCCAGAATGAAAATGACCTGTGTTTGCAGGGTAAGCACAACATTCCTCTGCATACAACCCTATATGCAGGCAGCGCTAGAAATCATGCCAAAAGACAAAAAAGACGGGAAAAAGTTCACAGGCAGATGATGGTGACAGACTTAGATTAAAACCCACAGAGGACACACACAAACACACCCACACTGGGTTCAGTTCACAGTTGATGATGAATGCTTGCGACTCATAAAGCTTATTTTTAATTAGCGACATGGTCATTAAAATGTGTTAATTGTATGCATTGTGTTAATGCTGTGTCAAAGTCAGCTAAGGACGAGGCTCGACGAAAAGTGTGGTTTAGCGACTCCAGTAATGCAGTGTGACCCTGTGTAATTTCAGAATGGTAATTGGACAAAGTCCCCCTGCCCGTCCGTGTGCACAGACACACACCCACACGCGCTACCTATCCACAAATTTTGGCAGATGAGAAAGCAATACAGCTCCCCCTTTTGGCAGGATCTACCAGGATCAGTGCATCTTCATCAAAGACATGGCATCAACCTTGGTCTCCAACTCCTCTGCTGGCAAGAAAATACATCAAACATTAGGAATAGCTCACTAAAGACAACTTCACCGCTTCTTCCCAAAGTTGCAGTGACAGACAAATTGAAAAGTGGCACACACTAATGTGCCCTCCGCCTCCCCGAGCCCATCATTCAGTGGAATGTGTTGTTTCGGTGATGCTGAGGAAAATGGCAAAATAAGCCACTCTTAAAATCAATTATTCATAAAATCCTGAACAATACTAAAATTTTTATTGAATAATAAAACAGAGGTGATGACTTAAACAAATCGGGGCAAAACATAAACTGAATCTGATTCTGCATTCCACTTTAACAAGGGAGGTCGGTCAGGTCAACTTCAAGCTTCAGTTAATGCATCAATATATTACAAGCAGTATGTGATTCCCTGCACTTAAATTCACATGCAATACCTAAAGGCGCTGAAACGACTGCTCAAATGCCATGTCAGTGTCAGATCAGCTTGGTAGAGTAATGAAATTTGCCCAGTGGCTTGAAACTGTAGCACGGCAGCGGCCATTTTGGTTCAAGTCCACCAACTGATAACAGACGTGCCTGGAAGCCCAGAGCCCTGGAACGAACGCCCCCACTGCTGCTTTCAATGACCCCTGATGCTGGAATTCAGAGAACAAATTGCTGATTAAATAAACACACATCAGCATATCAGAGACTTAACTCCGAAGTCACGTGTCATATTAGTTGGAATAACTGCAGGTTCGCACAATATATTTTCCGTTTTAGACTACTTATCTTGCATGTATGTTATAGTTATTTTAGAACACAAATCTGTTTCAACACACTTTTCCGTTTACATGTAGCTGCAACACTGTGGTTACACTACATCATAATGCAATTAAAAAACATTTCTTCTCTTAATGTCTGATCGTTTGTTGTTTGCCCCATGAGCGGGAAACCCACAGTCCGTCATTTAACTACGTATGTCCGCAATCACGTAGTTGAGAAGGCTGAACGTACATAATGACAGTGAACGCAGCACCGCCGTCACTTCTTCCGCCCGCGTGACACCTGCAGTTACAGTCCAAACATGAGCGCTTCTGCTGTGGTTCGGAGGTTAGCAGCTCTGTCAGGAGCCTCGGCAGTGGGAGCTGGGGCTTACGGGGCTCACGGTATGCAACTGTCCTATTGTCTGTAGCTCTCGCTCAGCTGAACAGTCGTGAAAGGCTGTCATGTTGAGGTTTACGGCGCCAGCCTTGATATCAAAACACGCAGATTTAAAGTTTGCGTACTCACCACACGCCCGAGTAACTGTAAAGCAACAACACATACATGCTGCTAATGTTAAACATGCTAACGATTAATTCGGCTTTCAGTAAGCCGTCGAAGCTTCACGTTGTTTTTGTAAAAATAACCAGTGTCGTAATCAAGGTGACCCGCCTCCAGGGTGGAAGAAGGCTTTTTGTGGGTCAGCCACTGTCCACGGTAGGGATAGCTGAGTGGTTGGCTAACTTTTAAAATGTGATAAGAGAGTGGTTGGTCTCACCACCGTATCACAACACGAGTATTAAGGAACATGACTTGAGGGTGTGGGTTACTGATTAACCAAATAAAGTGTGGTCTGTTGTGTCTGTGATCATGATATTCATGGTGTGATAATAAGTAACAGTTGTGTTTTTCTTGTTTTAGGTTTCAAGAACAGCGATCCTGATGACTACCGAATAGTGGTATGTTCATAATACTGCTACTTATGTTTTTTTTGAGCATTTTGTGTGCCTAATATCAGTTTTCATTCATTCGTGTTAGCAGAGGTAAAGGTCAGAGCATATGGATTCAAGACTGATTTAATTTGGGATGCACTAAAACGGTGGATAAATATGGCTTCATGGTGACTTTGTCATTGATGTAGGCACGTGAAGTGACATCTGAAATACCTCTTACCGAGCTTAGGTTGTTGTGGAGGGGGCTGCTGGGGCCTGTCTTAGCTGAACAACTATTCTAGAACCAGATAAAAATGTCTTTGGAAAGTGGAAGAAAGCTGGAGTACCTCAAAATACCCGTAAAGGCACTATACACAAAAAGTAGTGAGTAGTAACAAATTCAAATAAGAAAGAAAGATGGGTTAAAAAAATGCAGCATCTACTGTTGGCCAAATTTGTATTTTAAGCATCAGTGTATCTGCCCAATTGGTGCAACTCCAGTTATAGTTTAGTGGACTGTATGAGTGTTATTTGTTTTACTCTCAGAAAACTAAAAGATGTCTGTGAAACATTTTCACACTGTGCTGTTAATCTGGAGGAAACTTCTGTAATGCAAAAAGACAGGAAATTGATTTTTTTTTTTAATGATGAGATACTTTCCTGGCCAAACTTGGGCTGATTGATGAGAATGGTGTAAATGGTGCTTGATAGCGGCTCACTAAATATCCACTTCTAAACTTAATAATAAAAGGCCTTTCCAGAAAATGTTTGATTCACTGAACTTGATGAGTGGCTGGGAAAGGCAGAGTTTTTTCTGAAAGCTCTGTGTGTGTGTGTGTGTGCCTCTTCAGCTTTTTGAAACCGCCAACAAGTACCATTTCTACCACAGCCTGGCCTTGCTGGGTGCTGCCCACTGTGGGAAACCTGCTGTGGTAAGTACAGAAGCCTAAGACCCTCACTCTTGGCTGGATGCACTTAGCTCAATCCTTTAAAGTGGATATAGTGCCACAGTCGTATTTGCTGTTACCTGTCCATCCTCACTCAGAGATATTATGTTACAGAGACTGCTGTTTTATTACATTATAAATGATAAAAGTGACAGCATAAGTATAAATTTGTTGTGGATTGACGGTGAAAGAACACATTATCCCAACAAATGGAACCAGGAAAGAAAAAATGGTAGCCAAAGAATCTCCTCACTTAAATGTCACCACCCCATCATCTGTACTTTTAAGCATTCATGCATGTCCCTCTGCGTCTCATGTCTGATAATGTTGTTATTATGAGTTGACAATAAATTGGTAAAAACTGTGGAGTTATTAATTTGGATTAAATAAAATCTATGAACCAGCTTTGGAGTCAGTCCGATACAGTGAGTTTTTATTGTTTACACCTGTTTAAGGTGTCCATCTATAAAGTTACTAAACCTGCTCACTCGAGTTGTGTTGTGTGTCAAAATGGGCATAAATATTAAGCTAATGAGATAAAATGACTCATTAATCATAAGTAATGATACTCAATAACATGCGTTATTCTGCTGATAAGATACTTTAATGTGTGTAATGTGATAGTAAGCTAATAAGCCACATTAGCTAACTGAATGATGGGCTAATAAATTATGTTAGGAAATGACGTACTGTAGTAGACTAATGTTTGCTAATAATATGAATCAATAGGATAATAAGGTACATTGTTGAATTTAATGGTAGGCTATTGAGATAAATTAGCAAACTTACAATCAAGCTAACAAGATGTGCTGGCTAATCCGGTCGTAAAGTCTGACGTCACTAGCCGTGTCTGGGCCTAAACTCCGCTGCAGGTCCATATGTCAAACGATCACTATGGCATTACTGAGAGTTGAAAAACTGTCTAAAGTCTTTCATCTTTAATAAAATGATCAGCGTTCTGCTCTACCAGGTGTAAGAATTGAGTTTAACATCCAGGCATCCATGAAAACGGAATTTATGACATTTAACGGAGTTAGAAGTTAGCAGGAAGTTAGCTCGCTAGCTTCTATCTAAATACAATATAGCATGTCCTGACTGCAGGGTTTTGGAAACAAATTAAAACGTACAGCTCTGTTATCACTTCCAACATAAATGAAGACAGAAAGCTAAACAGCAGTGATGTTTGTAGGGTTACTGAAGTTGGGCTAGCTGGTATATAATGATGTGCTACGTGACCGCTAGCGACACAGCTATGTTAGCATAATATAAACAAGCTAACTTTTTTTCCACTCGATAAAAGTTAACGTGAGTGTTCTCGGTGGTCAGGAACAAATGTAATCGCATGGCAGGATGCTGTAAAAGGACCAAACTTCAGCCAGGAGAACAACTGAGATAATCCATCCACAATACGAGGTTAGTCATTCATATACTGCTGCATGGGCTGGGCTGTAGTTGCATCCTGATCTTAAATAAATGATTAGCGGTAATAAAAGCCGAGGGAGGTCAACAGTGATCACTGAGTGTTTTAGGAGCTTTTTGAGATTAAATAGAAGAAAATACAAAACATTAAACATGTTAACAACACAAAAGCCATATTAAAGCAGACTACTTTAGGCCCGGAAGTAGGATTCGTCACGTCATCACTTAACGACCGGATATGTTTTCTTATGATAAGAAGCATGCTAATATTATAAATTAGCTGATGTAACATAAACTATTAAATTATGTTAGCCAATAGCATATTTGTGGGATAATAGCATGCACTGGCTAACTGAATAGTGGGCTAATAATAGCATACTCTATTATACTAATAAGATAATTAGCTATATTAGCTAACAATGCAAGGCTAATAAGATGCATCAATTTTTAAGTAAGCTGATATTATTTAATTATATTATAGGATGATATTATAATAGAAGTATAATTTAAGAAGGCTGACTCTAAATAATGGTTTGCTTTTAATGCTTTTAACTTTTCTTGCAAAACAAACAAAAAACTCCTTTTTGCTGGTCCCTGTGGGGTAACATCTCAAGCAAGGGCGAGTCTCAAGCAAGAGAGGTTGGAGAGTACATGGCAGCCCTACTACAATGTGTTTGCAAACTTACAGATTTAAACTGACTGAGACCAAAATGTTTCTTTTTCACAGGCTGGTAGCCTTCTGATTGCGGGCATGGGGATGTTCTGTGGCTCTTTATACCACCAGGCTCTGACAGGGGACCCCGGACTGCGCAAAGCGGCTCCCGTGGGGGGCGTAGCTATGATTGTTGGATGGCTGGCCATGATTCTCTGAACTGTGACAGCTTACATCTTCTCCAGAGAGCCACACTGTGACACTAAACTGTCAGACTGCTAATAAATGAACTGGAGAACTTGTAAGAGTTGGCTGAGGGCTAGTGCTGAGTTATAATGTCACCCATCCAACCACCGCCTGCCCTGGGTTGTGGATGTCAGCAGGAGATAAGGTCACCGCAGGATGATCACTTTTCTGCCACTGCTGTCTGTTTGTGGCTGCTGCCCTTTGACTATAATGTTAAACTGGATAAGAAATTTAACACAAAATGAATGGAATGAACTGTATCATCCAATTTGTTATGGAACATTTTAACTTTTGGTGTTGTGAAAATAAAGAATCCCTCATGATAGATTAACAACGAAATCGTTTCCTAAACTCTGAAATCCTTTTTTCCACAAGGATTGTTTATTTACCTTTAAACAGTCATTTACCAGCATGAATAAATCTCAACAATGAATATTCAATCTGCTGTATACCAAAGGTCCGTGTCAAGTCTTTGCTTTTTTCCATTTCTCACAGACATCACTTTCAGATACTGATCATCTGCTGTAGATGGGTTTTTAGGTTATCTTCTTCCTCTTTTCTCCTCCGCTTGTTCAGTTTTGTCTTTTTTTAAGGACACACTGCACACCATGCTGAGATTTGTCAAGTTTGCAGCTAATATCTCTTTGGGAATTCCCTTTTGGTGCAAAAATAAAGTTTTATGCCTGTCTTGTTATCCTTGAGATTTTTCATGGATTTAACTATACGAATGGGAACAAATTGTTATTTTGGAGAGAAAATCTGAGAAAAAGCAGCCACATGTCCACTTAAAAACTTAAGCAAACTTTCTGAAAGCCTGGAGAACTACTGCTCAACAAAGTCGTACAAAATTACAGCGAAGTCTGGCTGCTTGGAAGCAAAATATAAAGAAATGAGGCAAGACTGTAAGATGTGACATTACCCTCTGATTTCTGTAAACCCATTTTGAAGACTCAAGTGTTTCAGTCTTCACTGTCTTGGTATCTTGAACTCAAACAAGCTTTCAGAAGTGTTTTCATTTGACTGCATAGTCAAATATTGTTTTGTTGAAAGACGATAAGCAAGTGTTGACACAGAACTTTATGCTAGAACACTAGGTCAAAGTTTTTAGTATTACTTTTTTTTAACCTCCCAATGTTTGTGTAATAGTAAATAGCATTCAGTTGCATACTTACATTGTGTGCTAAAAAGAACTAATGCGTGTTAATATCTGGTCTTTAAGTGATGACGTATGAACCCTGCTTCCGGGACCAAACTACTCTGTGTTTATTAAGGCTGTTGTGTTTTACATGTTTTAATGCTTTGTATCTTGTTCTATTTAATCTGAACACCCCCTAACAAAGAGCAGTGATCACTGTCGGCCTCTCGGTTTTTGGTACCACTATTCATTTTAAAGCTCAGTTTTTAAAACCTTACGGTCTAACTACAGCCCAGCCCATGCAGCAGTATATCAATGACTAACCTCTATTGTGGATGGATTATCTCAGTTGTTCTCCTGATTGAAGTTTGCTCCGTTTACAGCATCCTGGCATGCGATTGCATTTGTCCTTAACCATCGGGAACCCTCACATTAGCTTTTATCAAGTGGGAAATAGTTAGCGTTCATCCTCCTGTGTTTATATTATGCTAACCATAGCTGTGTCGCTAGCCACCATGTAGCACATCATTATATACCAGCTAGCCCAACTTCAGTAACCCTACAAAAGTCACTGCTGTTTAGTTTCCTGTCTTCGTTTATGTTAGAAGTGATAGCAGAGCTGTACGTTTTAATTTCTTCAGAAATCCCTCAGTCAGAACATGGTATATCATCTTTAGATGGAAACTAGCGGGCTAACTCCCCGCTAACTGCTAACTCCGTTAAATTGAATACATTCTGTTTTCATGGATGCCTGGATGTTAAACTTAACTGTTACACCTGGCAGGGCAGCCACACCGATCTTTTCATTAAAGATAAAAGAATTTAGACAGTTTTTAACTCTCAGTGATGCAGCATCACTGATGCTGCAGTAATCGTTTGACTTTGGGACCTGAAGTGGAGTTTGGACCCGGAAACGGCTAATGACGTCAGACTTCAGTTCAAAAGAGTGCTTTATTTTTCACTGCAACATTAAAAGCTGTTGTCACACATGCTGTGACTCTGAACATTTCTAGATATTATCTAGCTATTATCTGGTAAATGAGAATCCAATGTTCAAAACCATCACATTGGACTGGCTAAAGTAGTAGCTAATAGCTAAGTGTAATAGTCTGGTGAAGTCATGTCTATCGAGTGGTCTTCTACACTATTAGACAGCACCCAGGTCTCAAACAAAAGTATTATTTTAAGTATTCCAATACACAAGCACATATAGATTGTGTGCTACATGTGGACAGTATAGCAGTTGACATGTTAAAGCAGCTTTAATAGCAAATTTTATTATTGTTATCATACCTGGACAGTAGAAACTTCTGTCCTAGAGGTTTGTTGTGTGCACATTCATCTGAAAGGAAAAAGGAAGTTGACTAATGGTAGTGCTAGTTTAAAGGGCATCCTCAATGTGTTGGTTTCACTAAAGGCTAGATAAACCCACAGGATTCACAACCTATGGCAGTAGAAACGGTGTCTCTTGTGGTGAATGTATTCACAGCCCCGAGGGTTTGAGCCTCTGAGTAGCAGAACACAAAAGAGTTCTTTAGCAATAGCCTCCCGTTAGCCGGGACCATGTTCCAACCACTCGGCATTCAAATTGAAAGTGAAATCCATTGAAACACTAATTCCCCTTCCTGACTGTGGGCCCATGAATGGAGACCTTTAGAAAATAGCTGTATAAATCTCTGGGTCAATTTGCTGGGGCCGGTACATAAGCCGAGGCTGTGCTCAAAAGAGAAGGCACTATTGACTGAATGCGTTGCCAGTGAGCTCTTGATCACGAGTCATAAAACCCTCATTAGAATTAAGTAGCTGCTGAGGAGAATTCTGTTCTTCCAGGACCAAGCAATCACACAAGAAAAAGCTCTGACACCCGGTCACACATCTATGACTCACAGCTTTCAAGCATATGGGAGACACCTGACTGAAAGTTACAGGCTGTTCCGCTCTGTCGGATGCATATTTGAAGTGCTATCATCAAATTTTCAGCCACTTGTTAAATATTTAAAGCGAAACCATGTGATTTTTTTTTCTTGACAAGATGTGAGCTACAAGTTCAGAACAGTTTCACACACTAGTCTTATTTTAGGGTATTTATTTCTCTCGTCTGTAGCTGACGTTCACATGGGTGGATCCTGTTGCTGTCAGCAGCACACCACAGTGTTAAAATCCATTAACTGGATCACAGAGTTCTGGTCTGCCAACACACATTTGATGTGTGAGCACACGAGGGGGGGTGAAATGGAAAGTGAGATAAAGGGAGACCCTTATCTCAGAACCATAATCTCACGAGTTAATTCAGACGACGCGTCAGCTTTTCAGTGTATCTATGAGGAGTGCTTGTTGAGCACTCGGTGTACGGTGCCTTCAAAGATTATTTTTTAAAGAGAAAATGGTTTTCTAATATATTTCATTACAAATATAAAATACAGTTTGCTTAAGTGAAAGAACATCTACACTTTTGATGTATTTATTTTACCATCTACCATGGACTGAGCTACAGTTCATCGGGGCAAACGTTTGCAGTTAATCCAAATCCTACATTTAATTTAGGAACTTGAACCATAGTAGTGCAACATAAACTAAGTTCATTTATATTTTGACCATGGAAATGTTTAAAAAACTCAAAATGGATTAATTTCAGAGGTCCAATCTCCCGCTATCAATGCAGCTCACAATTTCTCTTTGTTCCTTCTACTTCCAAGACTCTTGGTTCACTTTCCAGCAAATCAATTTCTAGCTATAACTACTGCAGCCAGGCTCTGTGATGTTTGTTTCTAATTACTGTAATGTTTAAAATAAAAGAACCTACTTTTGACATGCCCTTCCTATAACAACCAAGTTATCAGATGTGGCTGCAAGCTTGGTTAATGGGCTGAATCTATAAAACAAAATTCAGTGTCCAAAACTAAAGCAGAACCGTCTCGTAATATCTGTCCTAAACTGCAACACATATTTAAAATTTGTCAGGTATTCTTTTTAAAAAAATGTTTTAAAAGGTATCAACACCACAAACATAGTTCAACAGGTCTAAATTTAAGCCTGACCTTTATCTATATATGTGAGTTTTTAAAACAATTACCCACTGAACAGTAATAATGTACATTTTATTAATCCCGTAGGGGGATTAGTCCTCTGCATTTAACCCATTCACTCAGTTAACCAGTGGGCAGCCACCAATCCAGCGCCCGGGGAGCAGTGTGTAGGGACGGTACCTTACTCAGGGGTCCCTCAGGGTAGCTGTTCGGTGGATTTGAAACCTGACCACAGGGGTGTTGTCAGCATTCACTCAGCTTTAACATCACTCTGGATTCTCCACTAGCTCTTGTTAGCATGCTAACTGTGCAGATGCTAAGAAAGAGCTAAACTTTTGTTATCAGTATAATGTTAAGTGTTTCATTCCTGGACCCAGTTTTCCCTGGACTATCATCCTCTGGTGGTTTTGTGCAATAAAAATTAAAGTAGCACGTTACTTTGGAATGTGTTACACTCTGCAATTTATGGTACAATTTACAATAGCCACATGACAACCAGTTAGCAAAGAATTATTTGCTGTTTTCCAAGTCATTCAGTCTTGATGCTAGCTGCAGGCAGTAGCTTCATATCTTACAGACAGTTACAACAGAAGTGTCAATCTCTTCATTTCATTTGTTCCTTTGTGGACTGATTCAACCATACTCCTTGCTGTGAGAAAAGACAATCTCTCACTAATAGCTAATAGCAGTGTCTTTTGGCAGAACGATCCAAATATCTAAAGTATCATTACCAATGCTGGTATTGCTGTCAGATCGATATCATCATTGATACTTTGTTGCTATCCTCTAAGTTCAGTATGTAGCCCACTGCACTGTGTAAAATAAAATGTTCTTTGGGAAATCAATAAACCTCAAATATGTACCATGAAAAATGTCTGATCATTTTTGTGTTGACATCACATCTACTTTATTTATAGCCTATAGCACATTTACAAAGCAGTGTCAATGGTTGAAAGGTGTGCTTTGTTGTGTTTACTAGAAGATAAGATAAGATAACCTTAGTCCCACACGTGGGAAATTTGTTTTGTCACAGCAGGAATTGGACAGTGCAAAAGTTATGAAGCAAAAATTAGAATACAATAAGAATAAATACAATACACAACTGTACAGAATATAATAAAATAAAATACTATATA